CGGTGAATGCTGTCGACATAAACAAGCCAATGATTGCGGTGCGTTTCAAATACAAAGCGAATGAAGGGGGGTAGCAGAAACGAGGCTACAATCGTGGATCTAGCCATGTTCTGGACGCATTGTTATGTGAATCGAAACAATACACATATCGGTTTCAATGTCAAAACATGAAACATTCCGGCCGAGCTTTTGGCTTTCCCTTTGACTCTACGAGTTCACTTTGATGATAAACGTCGCGTAAGAGTATTCTTTGATGACACATTGAGATGTTTCTAGTTTAATCATATTGATTACCTGCCAAATATCATAATCCATTTTTATTTAAGATAATTTTGGAGGATGTACAACGATGAAGTAATTGTATTTTGTGTTGTTCTTAGAAATACTGTGTGATAATTTTGAGACATCATCAATAAAGTGTAAAGAAAATATTGCAGGTTTTAATTAATAAAGTAATTAGTACAACAAGCTGCACGAATAACTATAAAGTAAGTCTTTTGTACGATTTCTCCATTATTTCGCATTCGTATGCTTTTTCGCGCGATTGACCCAGATTTATTGGGGGATGAATCGTTCAGGGGCAATTGATTTCCATTTATCTCTGTTAAAATCGCGAGGAATTCTTTGAAGGCGGTTTGATTTGGGCGGCCGCGACTAGTACGTCGTCGTCGACGCCGCCTCCTCCTTCTTACTTCAGAAAGTTAAGATTAATGGCAAGATTTGGCAGATTTTCGTGCAATAACTTACCATTAAGAACGTGTACACCGACGGTAGCGAAAGCCAAAGAGCCGACGGAGCAAGTGTAGTTGCCAGAATGGTCCCTGCGTAGTGGAGCCATGGTCAGAGTTGAGGTGGCCGTATCGGAGACGGCGGAGCTGTTGGAGCTGTGGACGAAGAAACGAACAAATTATTTGCGCAAATTCAACGCAAACCATCGTCTTTCGCACTCAATATTTTATTTTCGCGTACGTGTAATTGATTTCCCAAGTGTGAAGTCTGCAAATTCCTTCAATTTTCCGTGTTTTTTTTTCACTACCACCCGATCACTTTCGAGACGTCCATGTTCTCATCCTCGTGAGGGGATGATTTCTTTTTTTTTTCTAGACGCGCTTTTGGTTATACGAGATTCTTGGAGAGAAGCGGTGTATCCGCATTGGAAACGTATTATAGTATAAAACGAGATTTCGGATCGCGGTGGTAATGGGCGAAAAGGGCCATACGGAGACGCGCACACGCGCCTCCCAAAGTCATAATAAAATTGTCTCCGAGTGTACAACACAAATGCATTAGCATTAGCTGAAAGTTGTCGCCGGTATAATTTCCCTAGGTGGAACTTCTATCTGGCCTTCGACTTCAGTTTTTGTTGAGAAACTTTCGGAGCGAAAGCCGTGACAATTTTATGTCTGCTTTCCTGTACCTCTTTTTTTTTTCTTCTTCTTCTGTCACCTTGCCTCGCCTCATACCAATTAAGCCTTTCCCGAAAAATATGATTTCGTGTATTCATCAGGCCCCATTCATTTCAATTACCTAGCTCATTTCAATATAACTCACTCCCGCCCTAAGAGCTCCATCAGAACCTAATTAAAAGGCGCCTTTAACTTAACATTTTCATGATGATGAGAAATGCTTATGCCGTGTTCACACCTCCGCTATACCCAAGCTGTTGTTTTCTTTTCAACATTTTAAGACCCTTCAGAAGTATGAATTATGATGCAATTTTAACTACGATAATAATCCAAAATTTCCTCTATAATAATCTCTTACGTAACACCTTGACTAAATTACCTAAGTGTATATTAAAATATACAATTTATATGTTGAACATATTTTTTTTGTTAAAGATATAAATAAATTTCAAAATTGTATTAACCTATGATAAAAAAAAATTGTTGTCAAAAAGTATTAAAAATAAATTTTAATTGTTAATTACAGAAAATTAAATAATTTTACTGTTTATCAATCTTTATATTTCATTAATTGTTACGAAATAAAAAATAAAAAGAGAAAGTATTTCCAAGATTATCTTATGTAATGTATAATTTTGGTTTTCTTTTCAACATTTTAAGACCCTTCAGAAGTATGAATTATGATGCAATTTTAACTACGATAATAATCCAAAATTTCCTCTATAATAATCTCTTACGTAACACCTTGACTAAATTCCTAAGTGTATATTAAAATATACAATTTATATGTTGAACATATTTTTTTTGTTAAAGATATAAATAAATTTCAAAATTGTATTAACCTATGATAAAAAAAAAATTGTTGTCAAAAAGTATTAAAAATAAATTTTAATTGTTAATTACAGAAACACATTGAAAAATTAAATAATTTAACTGTTAATCAATCTTTATATTTCATTAATTGTTACGAAATAAGAAAATAAAAAGAGAAAGTATTTCTAAGATTATCTTATGTAATGTATAATTTTGGTATCTTTTTTTATATGCTATACAAATGCGTATGAAGAATGGTAGCAAACAATCTTGAATACAGATGTTGCTTGTCAAGTGAATAAAAATATAAAGGTTGTAAAACGTTGGTTGTAAACAGATTAAAATCGTGTCGTAAATCACTGACCACAAAAATAACTTATTAGATTTTGTAGCAAGGAACAAAAAAATTGTATAAATAAAATAAAAGATGTAGGCTCAAAAAGAATCAGTCTCCGATTTCGAGCATCGCCTGGGAACAAGAGACGTTGCAGTTTGGGGAAGTTTCTTGTAAGCGATGGCCGAAAACTTTTTCGCCCTCCCCTTTATCACCCCAGCTTGTGTCCCCGCTGTGTGCCATTTTGTAAATCGCTGATATGAATCTCGGTAGCATGCGTGTATATCTCTATATATAAAGATATATATATATGTGTGTGTTATTCGAGCACACAACAAGCAAATGATATGTGTGCGTTGCTCGTGAAATTTACTTTCGGTTTCTCTCCAGCGTCTATTTACACAGCGATCAATCGAGGGGTTGGCACCATGGAGGGCTGAAAGAAGGAGATGGAAAAAAAAGACGAGAAGAAAAGGAGGACAACACATCACGCTGGTTGAAAGAAGAAGAAGAAGCAAAAAAAGAAGAGATTGGAACGCGCAGACGAGCCATAATGCAGGGAGTAAATCGCTGCGACCATTAGGGTGGCAGTAAAATTGTTGATGTACGGAGGGGTTGGTTGGTTTTGATGGACTATGTGGTAGCTCTGCGGGGTGATAGTTACCTGATGCCATCGGTGAGGGTGCGATCTCCGTGCTTCCAGGCGATCGGGTGCTCCTCGTTCGGGTTTCCCACCTGAGTTGCAAAGCAGGTCAACTCTAAGCTGCTTCCAGCTTTGTAGTAGCGTTCAGAAACTTGACGTCCAGATTCATCAGAGATTGTTAGTTCAGGAGCTGAAACAGAAAAAGATAACATCTTAGCTATATTTTGTGTAGATTCATCTTAAAACGTTATAGTTTCATACGAAATATAAACAAAAATGCAAATTTTATAATTGACAGTCAATTGTAAGTGGGTAAATGCCAAAAGACACGTTTTAGAGAGTGAATATTTATATCGCCTGTACTTTTCGACATATATTTTTATATAACAAAAAATTGATTGGTATTAAAAATGTTATTAAATTTAAATTGGTATTTTTTTTTGTGTAATAAAAGTTGATGTATTTCTTTTATTTAAGATTCAATAAGCAAATTGTTTATTGTTCATCTAAGGTATGAAAAATGCTTGTAAGTTACTGGTAACAATATTCATCAAAATGTCCGGAATTGTATTTCGGAATGACACACAAACACACACAATAAGTTTTGGTGGATGTAAGCAAATGATGATTATGTAAAATTGATTGCGTCAGAAGGGCCAGTGCAATCTGGAGCAGTGATCAAGCGAGATAAATGTCTGCACCTAACGGCACTCATAACTAATGAGGTGCACTAAACTTTCGTTATCTTCCAGCAGGCATTTAAGGGAATATTTCAGGTAGGCAGCAGCAGGTGACGGTAGATTATACCCTTCCCATGTGACATCTTGTACGGATTATTACTTGGGACAATTACTTACTTCGCAAGGACAAACTACCTCTCTAGCCATCATAAATCCCAAACCCAAATGTTTAGCCCCATATAATTTTTAATCTTCGCCGAGCCCATGTTTCCAAGCGACTGTCCCACACCACGCCCCCGTATACCATTATCATCAACGTTCTTATACCTCTAAACCTGCATTCCAGTCCATTCAGTTATATATGAATTATTGTACGCCTTAAGTAAACAAGCGATGTGAATTGGAGCTCGCACAATTGCTTTCAGAAACAACATGTATCATATAAGGATTAAGTGAGATCTTTGGGTCGAGCAGATATAAACCAAACACATCCCATCTCATTAAGTTCCAATTAACTACTAGAAAATAGTTATTTTAATTAAACGATTCCATTTAGATCGAAATATTGTTCCCACCCACGGATTTCTCTTCAAGGCAAATAGTGCTATTATTGTTTGAAGTCGGCGGTTAGTTTTATTGAAAATGATCAAACGTTTAGTCCCTTTGAAGCAACTATACAATACACCGCAAACTTTCAACACTTAGTTTGGATCCCATTATTGGTTCCTTACATTAATTAATTAAACCCACTCATTACGTTTCCTGATCGCTTCCACTAAACCGTAAACGATTTTGCTCGTTTATATTCATTGAACTTCATTCAATTTTTTTTTTCTCAAACCTCACTTTAGTCACCTTTATATAACCTCCACTGATTAATTCCGGACGTCTTTCTTACGAAATAAATTGGCTACTTTCATTCATTTCATCAGCGCTGCGACCAATTTTTGCATATGAAATGTAATTGAGAAGATGATGAAATGAAAAAGGGAAGTATCATTATAAATTATACAATTTTATCAAGTAGTTTCATTAGTAATGCTTATGATATTATAATAATTGTAAATTTTCTTACTAACATTCTGATGAAAGTGTCCAAACTAAAGTAGATCTAAAGCAAATTTAAATTATCTATAATCATTTTGTAAATATAAAAATTTAAATAATTGTTTTTTTTTATTCTTTTTTAAATATATTTAATTGTTAAAATAAGCAAAAGTAATAAATAAGTATGAATAAATGTTATTTTACTATGTAAACATTACAAATTAATTAATTGTACAATTAATTAATATAATGTTTGGATTGTCTAGGTTTTGGTAATAATGTTTTAATGGTTATTAAGATATGTGAAGCAAAAAGATAATCTGCAGAAGTGTTAATTAGTGGGTTTGAAGTGTCGCTTGAGAAGTCAAGTGTTGCGAGGTTTGTTTAAGTTTTGCGAGAGGAAAACAGTAAATAAATAAAGAAGTCTGGATGATTGTTTGCGGTTAGGCGGCGGGTTAATTTCGTTGTTTTATTGAAAACGATCGTGGGGGGAGGCTTCATTTGGGTTATGTGGTTGGTTTTTGGTGGGTTGGCGGCGTAAAGAAAGGGCAGGGGTGGTTGGTGATGTAAGGCCCGGGCTTACTGTTGCCAAATGATAATGGGACGTAAAGCCCGTTGGCAAATGGTCACATCCTGCTGAGGTGAACGGATGGCCGTTATCCTTGTACGTGGAATGCGAATGATGGACTGATTGCCCCCCTTCTCCAGTAGCAAGCAAGGAATGGTCCCCCGCGACGATGGTCCTATTTAGTTTTATTAGCGGGGCCGGACGGGGACCGAATCAATTCAGCAGCCGACGGAATTGCGCCAGGGATGTGTAAAATTGAGGCTTTATTCCATCAAAGCTCTTTCTTTTACTGCCAAATAAATGGCCTGATGGATGTTCCAATTTATAAACTCAACGGGGATTTTTCGATTGCTTTTAATGCGAGCGCATGGAATAAAAACAGGAGCGACGCGCCCAAAACGAACGAAACATCAAAATCATTTTTATAGCCGACACAATTCTTGTCGACGCTGAATTTCCTTCTCGACGACAACTACAGCAATGCCTATCCGAATCTGCACCAGTCCAAAAACAAATCAATCCTGATCTCTCTTTATGTTTATTTTCATTTGTATTTATTTATTTATTTAGTTATCTTCTTTTTTTTTATACGGAAGGAGGGAGTTGTGGGTGGTTGTTTCCTTTAGTTCTTTGTTTATTTATTTTTATTTTTGTTGCTTTCTACCCTCGTATCTTTTTATTCCCAAAAAACCCATCCCCGTCGCATCGGTAACATATCGATTCACGTCTAATCTAGCTGTCAGTCACACGAGCCGAAACGTTTATACTTCGATGTTTATGATGGCGCAAAACTTCCAGACAATCCCGTTACAATGAAATAAATATTAAGAGTGCGCCAAACAGAAGAAAGACATTAAGGGGGTGGCTTTCATGAATATGCAACGTTCTACGCCAAACCAACCATCCCCTTCACTCGTTCTTGTTTCTAGGTCAGGGGTGAACCGGGTTCGTTGATGAGCTGGGGAATAAATACACCATTCGGTTACTAACCTATGACTTTCAGGAAGATCCTCTTTACTCGAGGCGGGTGCGTTGCCACTTGGCACTCGTACAATCCCTCATCCCTTTGGGTTACGTAAACTATTGCCAGCCGATAGTTGTTTGGGTAGCGGAAGCTCAGGGTGATCCTCTCGTCGCTGCTGTAAGCGCTCCTTCCGACTGTCAGCAGGTGGATCGAATCTTCCTTATGATGCAACCATGTCACCTGTAAAAAAAACATAAAAATCATACTTTAAAATTTTCTACACTTTCTAATTAATTGCTACATTTGTAATTAAATTCCGTAATTGATAGTTTTCAAGACTATTACAATTTCATCAATCAGAAAATAATCAATCGTCTTTACTGGACTAACTTATATAAACATAAAGTAAGCTAATCTTTAAGTTTAAATTTTGTTTGTGTTTCTTATAAAGATTTTCAAGTAAGTAGTAAATAATTGTACAATAGTTAGCCGAAGTTGATAATCCCGGATTACATGAGGCCGACACATCGGAAATGTAGTGGAAGCGCGAATCCCATTTGCTAAACTTAGAGTCCTAGTTTCAGTTTTACAGCGTAATTAGAAGACTGAACTTAGAAAGTTGTGTTTTTTCATTTTATCTATTATAGTTTTCGAGTAAATCACTGCTTTTTCGAACGTTTTCATTTCAATTTTTCAAATTTGAACGCGT